CGTTTGCCTATATTTCCTTTAATAAATTTGACTTGACTTGACTTGACGTTATCCTTGATCCTTCCGGGGGCCTGATTTTGAAACCCTGCCTTTACAAAGATATTTATCAAATGAATATGTTACGCCCTACTTTAAAGTAACGCTTTTATTTTAAGCTAAGTATTGTATCAATGTACCATCTTAATTATACTATAGTCGACTTAAAAACTTACCGCCAAAGTACGATCCGTCGGAGAGACTGGTAGCCACTCGACCGTCAGTGTCCACAATGTCCACTATGCCCTCCTGGATGAAGTACATCTTGGTGCCAATCAGACCCTCCTTGATGATCCAGTCACCCGGCTGGAAGACCTCGTACTTCAACTTCATAATGACATCAGAGACGAATTGATGATCGGCGTAGGTGAAAAAGGGCACTGCAGCAACCAACGCTCGACAATTGTGATTGACAATTTCCTGGATGCAGATTTGGGGCAGAAAACAAAACACTTTTACTTTAGTAATAATAAATGAACATAGGGCATCAGTTAACGCAGAAAAGGTAGTTGCTCGTACGTGCGGCAGCATAAGTTGTACTAGCAAGACCCCACTTATTTTCTGAGCAGCAATGGAATTTAGAAAAAGACAGGTTCCAGTAAACGCTGCGTGAATTCGCTCAAACAAAATGGCTTCCAGGCTTCTGGGAGTTCAAAACACAACTTAAAACCCGCATATCTGGGATTCTAACTGACAGACGAAGGAGTCCCAAAGTCGCTCTGTTAGAATAGTTAAGTTGAAAATGAGAAAAAAGTACCTACCGAGTAAACAAAACAAACAGGACTACGTCAACAGGAAGGCAGATCCCAATATATGCAACGCTCCAACAACGCTAGATCTCATTGTTGCATTAAAAAGTAGATTGCCCGATTCGTAGGCCATATTATCACAGTGGAATGGGATAAAATGTAAAAGATGTTCGTTCAGAAATGTTTGGTAGTTAGTAAACATTCTGAAAGTCAGAATTTGGCGCAAACACGATAAGCAACTGCATGAACTCTTTTAGCGGTCTTTTGAACCAAAGAGCGTTCATCGAATCATGTGCTGTTGAAGTGGTTAATTTAGGTAATTAAGGAAATTCACATTCATGCAATTCGTACTTATTACTTTTGAAACAATAAGTAGTGAGTTCAAATATGATAGCGGTATGCCAGAAAGTGCTAAGGAAGCGGAGACCAGGAATACTGTTGTTGACATTACTCGTGCGAAGTCATGCTAGAAATTGGACTTGGTAGTCTAACGTACACTTGATCTTGTTATTTTGATCTGATGGGTGTACTTGTTCGGGCACGAAAAAATCGGATTCTGCGCTACACGGAAGCAAATTAGATACGGCCGACGCATATAGGCAATTAGACCATGTGGTCAACCTCCGGTGCCCTTGTAGTCTCAGGCCCTGATTTAATCACACTTTGATTTGAGTTTACTTCCTTTCCCGCCTTTTTATTTCCTTTATTCAAGTTTGAAGGCAAAGATATTATTGATTATTATCCGAGCTGAACAACGAAGTTGTTGTTTTATATCGATTTCTGTGTAAATTAATTTTTTTGCTTCCATTCGCCATCTATATCACGCGAAGACGGGTTGGAATTGAAAAGCCGTCATGAAATTTGTTCCCACAAATATATCCCTCCGGCCTATGTCTATTTGAAAGAAAATGGTATGATTATGAGTTCATCCAACGACTATATTTTTCTTAATTGGTCAAAGTTACAGCCATTTCCCACGTTAACGAAAGTTGAGGTTTCTTAAATAAGTTTGTATTTCTGATAAGGAAGATTAATACTTTGCAAACGTACTTTAATTTATAAGTTCGCACAAGGTTGTTCATTAATATTTCAAACTTTCCGTAGATACTTCAGTACCAGTTTGCGGATGATTATCAATCCTTCTCAATTCCAGAATATTGCTTAAGTTTCGGCCCAAAACTTACTGGACGAAATGAAGCCTGAATCAACATATAGCAGAAAATAGATTCGAAAAGGATCCAATTTTGCACCAGCACATCCGCTTTTGAAAACGCTTGCCTACACTGTTGGAATTTGAAAATTCTCCCTGCCATCGGCCCGAACAGAACAAAATGGCACGTGTTTCCTCTGGTTTAATGGATCGGCAGGGTGTGGGAAAAGGAACCGACCGTACTGCCTGGGGCGTTGCGTTAAATTCCAGAGCTTTATGGGTTAAGGTTAGGCTGAGGTTAGAGCTAGCGTTATGCTCGAAGATTAGGCACGGGGTAAGACACCGTTCCTACAATTTAGGGCAAGTTCACCAACATTACAGGGAGGAGGTGTTTCGTGTTTCCGTGTTCTGTCATCACTGGCCATGTAAGTACCCTCGAGCGTTTAATGCTTCCAGACGAACGTGAACCCAACGACTGACCTTATGCTCCTCCCATGTCAGGATGATTGCACTAAGTAAAGCTGACCTACAGCACTGCTTTCGCAGGGAATTGGTTCGCTACACTAGTAAATATTTCCTTAATTTGTTTTGCGCATACTTCAAAACTTTGCCTACAGTACCAGATGATTCTAGATAAGATAAACAGTTACATTTTTTCCGGAAGGAAGTAAAATAGAGTATAAAAAACGCTTGTCTCGATGGTGGAGAGAAATGGCTGCCTTATCAGATTACTGCTTCGAGAAAATGTTGCTGATGGACTTAGGGAAACTCCCACATTGCCCTAGTGATGAAGCCACGCTACCAGGATCAGATACTCCGAAGCATATATGCATGTTCGTGCTATGGAAAAAACTGATGAAATCTAATATAAGATGGCTTATCTCGGGTTTAACCTGGGAAAAAATGACTTCAACAATATTGCGACACTAATACATATCAAAAAATTTAAATCTACCCTAATCATCGCATTTATGTTTTATTTCCAATTTCTTTGCTAAATACATCCTTGAACCCAGAAAAAGAGAGAGTGCATAAAATTTTTAATGTTGTGATCATTCCTTGTAGACTGAGATGTTATTTGATTTTAAAAGACTTACAAATTGCAGCATATTGCCAAAAAAATTGTGTCTTCACACACTGGTATGGTTAGAAATCACACACTACATTAGCCCTCTTAAAGTAACTAATATAAGTCTCTAAGTTGTTCAGAGAAAAGGTTCCTTGCAAAGGAAACTTCGAATAATAGACTGATATTTAAATTATGAAATGAAAATTTAAGCTCTTTCAAATGCTTTATAATTACAAGCATTTCTAAAAAAACAGTCGTTCATTCATACATCTAATTAAAATAAGATAAGCGCCTCACGATAACTATAGTTACAGTACCCTACATCCTTCACTTGAGTATGTAATTAAAAGAAAACGAGCGCTTAAAGATGCTACGTAATTAGAAAATGCAGTTTAATTAAAGGCCTTTTACCAAAATGTTAAAATCGAGTACGTAGTGAAAAATGCACTGTATGGGAAATTGATAAAATAAAGTCTTCTTAAACGCAGAATCACTTTATAAATAAAAGAACTAAAAAGGAGGGAAAAGATGTACATTAGTTAAGCAATAACTTTACCTAGAGGCGTATTATGCAGGTTACTTGAACAGTATTCAAGAAAAAGACACGTCACTGTTGCCTTCGAAATATTAACAGGTTTGTTTGTAAGGCTAATCAGCACTGAAACAGTGGCTAAGTAATCATTCCACGCAAAGAGCTACGTAAAATATTGCTGCGAGTTTCGTGTATTTGAAAATATTTTCCGCCTGACAGTATTTAAAAAAATACAATTCGGCGCCGCAATCTGTTCTTCGACGTAAAGGGACAGTTGCTATAGGCTACTGTATCCTTAATGTGCTTGACGAGCGCTTACACGAGGCAAGCTGCAATGGCTCCCTTCTAATGTGACCTTTAGGGTACTCCTTCTTCGTGGGATCCGAACCGGTTTGTTGTACAATTTCCTAGCCAAGTGTAGGCTGTGACCATAGGGTGTATGATGGGGTGTGCGTGACACGGAGGTCCAGGCTGTGTAAGCTGGCATATCTGCTGGCCTTCTACTGATCGTTTTGTTACCCATATTTTTTAGGCATCAACTCTGCCTTCGGCATCGATTACCGCCGTCTTCGGTCTTGCCTGGGAGTACTATAGGAGCCTGCT